CAACAGCGTCCCCATCATACCCATATATCCTTCCCACACAATCCCCTGATATAGTTGACCCATTTCAAGGGACCCTCAATGTGCATTTCCTGTTGTTCTTTGCAAGAGCAAAGGCCTCCACCACCTCCTCAACTCTGCCAGCCCAGCCAAGCGAAGAGCTTCAGCAAGGTGGGCAATTTCCAAGTGTAGGTTTTCGGTATTCTAGCCTGAAAAGTATGCGGCGGTGCACTTTACAAAGGGTAATTAATCTAAAGAATGACAACTGTTCAGGTACGAGACCCTCAACATTCAGTGTTTGGGGGGCCTGGGAGTTGACTTTGTTGGGTTTGTGTTGGCTTGTGTAGGTGTCCGGGGAGCTAGCAGGGGGCCTCACAAACTTGTAGGTCAAGCAGGTTTTTTCTTTTTGAAGCTGACGATCAGCGAGAAAGGATGTTAGCCTGACGCTCAGCGGCTTCAGCTCAGCCAAGCCAAATTAAGGTGGCTTCCTGTCTGTATTGAAAGTATCGGGGTGACACCTACAAAGCCCCTAAACATAATCCCTGTATTGAGTTCCCAGTAGCTCTCATGTTGAAGGTGTCCCGTGCCAGGCCCGACCTGCGCAGTTGGAAGAGATCTCTGGCGCGACGGAACCTAAGAAGTCCAGCAGGCAAAGGAAGCATTCGGAAAGGCATTCGGCAACTTGTGAGGCCCAGCCCAGTGCTGTCTCCACAATCTCCGGGCCCCCCGCCGCCGCCACCGCCGCCGCTGCCACAAGTGCCAGCTCGCGCACCGGTGGAGCAGGCAAGTCAAGCTGCTTTCGCTTTCCGCGATGTTGCAGCGAAGTCTGGTTTATGCCAGGTCTCCTCACCTCCTGCGCGTGTCCCATCGCGCAAATCCCGGCCTCCGCCTGGTGCCATGTGCTGTACTAGCTGCAAGTGCTTATTTCCATGATGTTCTTGATGAGGTCTCCACAGCGGCAAATGCCCGACGAGGTAAGGCCAGAAGAGACCCGCCAGGCCGAACCCCAATTGAGTTCAAGACTGCCTGCATCCGTAGGATGTGCCGCATGCTTCTGGCTTGGGGGTAAAACTTGACATCAATAACTCTTCTTACTGGTGGTTAGCAACTGAATAGGGAATGAGCCATGCATAACTCCTATATATTCCCCTTTCCCTGCTAAGCCTCAGAAAGTCTGCTTTGTGGCAGCATTGCGGCTCAGAGCAGCCAAAGGGCCCGCGGCCATGAGCCGTGAGCACAGACACTCAGTCTACTACTGGGTTGCCGTGAAGCCTGGCCCGATCCCCAGACCTTTCTCAGCCTGTCGGGTTTAAAAGTTCGGGGTTCTAGGGTGGGGGTTTGGGTCTGGATCCCCACACTAAGGCCATGAATGGGAAGACCCATCAAATCCAAAAGTATTCCTTTGGTCTTGGAGGCTGCGGCTACTCCATTCTGAGAAGCTCCATTTGTTAGCTGTTCCACGCTTTGTGCAGCGCTTTTCGAACTAGCATCTGAGTGGTAGTTCTCATCACTGGATCTTTGTAGTCGCTCTGAGTTGTTGGTAAGTATTGGTATTTCAACCTTGCCTAGAGAATCTCGAGCAAACTCGGGACACGAGGGCGCATGGCTAATACATGCAGCCATCAAAATTTGCAAGAAGCTGGAGGGCAACGTGACACTTAGCACGGAGGCAGAGGATTGCTGCAAGATCCCTCCGCAAAATCCTTCCAGGTATCATACCAGAGCTCAGGAAAGGGCATGATGCTACACGGATAGGTTTCATCTGCACCTCTGCTCTGGAAGCAACACAGGGCCTTCCGAGGCTGCACATTTCGGTTAAAATGAAACGAGGGGGCTCTTGAGGTCTACCTCAAAAACCAGGTGTCATAACGTTGAGGTGAATACCAGGGGGCCTGTGAACTTACTGGCTGTTCGTAGGGAACAAGGGAACATAGAATATAGGGGCCATACAGGGATTAAATTCCCTTATTCCCTACTAACAGCCAGTAAGTGAAGGCTTTGAAGACTCCCACCTGCGTGCGAGGCGAGGAAATTGCAGCCCTCCAGGCAGAGACGGTCGCAGAGAAATGTGGCGTTCCAGCATCTCGGCCAGAAAGATTTACTTACTAGGGCTTAATTAGTAGGGAATGTGGGGATGTGTTATATAATGGTTATATAGGGATTCTGTTCCGTTATTCCCTATTAAGAACCAGTAAACTTAGTGAGTTAATAGCTGAGCTTGTGACCCTCAGCCTTGACCTTTTCTGAGCGAGACTTGGTGACAACTTAAGGGTTAAATCTGCTTTTTAGAAAGGAGATAAACATTCACTTGGATTTCAGTCGGGCTTTCCATGCGTTCGGGACCCATCCGCAGTGATGCGGCCATTTTAGATTTGAAGCATGCTTTTGCTTCTTCCCATGCATCATTCAAGGCCTTACCGAAAACGTTTTAACAGTCTTGCTCGTCGGAGTACCAATCTCTAAGCGATGGTCCAGAAACGTCGAGTCACAGCATCATGATCATGCACGGTAGTTTTGTATCCCAGTAATGAGAGCTGAGGTGAAGGAGCTTTTCAGCTACTGGGAGAAGGAGGTGAATTGTGACATTGTCATGGCCTCAGAACAAGCTTGCTGGCGTCATCTTGTAATGACATGTGGATGAAGAGGAACGGGTGACAGCATCTCCAACATGACCTTTGCATAATTCTTGAGACGGAGCTCGGCGTTCCTCTCATTATCGATTTACATACATGCCAAATTATTGGAAAGCCTTTTTTCTCTCTGTTATTGTGACGAGGATCCAGTATTCTTGAGCAGCTTCTCCAACAACTCCCAGCTTGAATGGCATCATGCAACCTTTCAAAGGGAAGCTGTGTGGACCCAAAGAGCGCATCAGGGGATTGAACAGAACTTTCTCAGAGGACTATCATGTTTCTTTGGACCCCACGGGGTAGATAAGAAAGACTGTGTAGGGCTCCGAAGGGATCTTCTGAAAGCTGGTTCTGAAAATCCGGGACCGTTTGCATGCCCCCCTCAATAATACGGGGATGGTGCTTGGGATGGTATCCACAAAGAGGCCGCTGCTTTTGTGGACTACATTAAACTTGTTCAGGCAGTTTTTGGATGATCTTAGAGGATACTGATTTGCTAAAGGCTCCGCTCCTGTCTACAAGTCTTGTTATGTCTCTTGTCATTCGCGCCACAATGCAGGATGTTGTTGTCTTTGCTCCGTGGCCCTGATGAGCTACAATCTTCCAGGCCTCACCTAGCCTCAGCCGATGACTGCCGGCCTAGGCCGTCAAAACCCTTCCGCGAACTCTGATGCTGATTGTCTGCTTTGCTGCCATGCTGTTGAACCACGAGGCGCAATGGTGTAATTGTCCAGCATGTCATCTGAAGTGCTTGTTACTGTACCTTGCAAATCTGGCATCATGTGCCGTCTGTGTGCAAGTTTGTTGCTTGAGACAGCCTGGACCCTGTTGGCAGACCGTGGGAGAAACACAGAGCGTGGAGCTGCTCAGATGAACCCAGCTTCGCCTTTGTCTGCGGTATGCCAAGCCCATCTGCATCAGCCCAGGAAAGCCATTCGCTTCGACATCGTTGCTGATCTCAATGCATGATAGCTTCACTTGCTGGCATTTCTCAGCCGCCTGCGTTGGCTTCCCCCCCCCCCCTCCCGAGCCACCGCAACATCTCTGTCAGGCCCGTAGGGTCTTAAGCCAAGGAAGAGAACGCAAACTTTGCTTTCAATGACATTGGCACTATGGGGCACAAGAACTATCTAGATGTACCTGGGCAGCAAGGGGGTATCATGGGATGTCTTGGGCACTGAATGTTGACTCAGCTTTTGCAAGGTGAACAGTATCACGGACTTCTACTCCTGGCTTCGCCTGGGCAACGGGCTCAGAGTAACTGCCTGATGAAGGTCCCTCTTCCTCTTTTTGCTCAACTACCAGGATATGAAGATTATCTTCGTCAATATCATACTTTGGCAAGGTGGGAGAGAATCTGGATGACTCATATACTGAGGCTTTGCTGCCATCTACTTGCCTCAGACCACCTCGGTCTCAGAAGGTTCCACCCTCCCGAGCGAAACTTGGATCAAATAGCGTTCAGGAATGCGGTTGTTGACCACCCATAGTCATACCAGTCGGCAGTGTTTTAAAGCGGTATTGTACTTCCCAGCACAGAGCAACATGCCTAGTCTTTCCAAGAATAATGTAATCTTAGTTGCTTCGACCGCCGAAGACTGAGGTACCGATGACTGGCCTTCAGAAGACTACTCAGGCCTACCTGGACTTCAACAGCACCTTGGCACGACCTTGGCTTTGCGGATGTGGGGGATGTCTCAAGTGTACTGGCTTCTTCTGTGTGCGTGGCTCTTTCAAACACATTAGGGAGTTCTGCCGGTACTGGTGTCCTTCTGAGTTGTAACAAGCATCCGTGCAGCAGAACAATCAACCTTGCTTCCGCGTTGGAGGAAGTGGCTGACTAAGCCATGGCATGTCGCAATGCTGCAGTCTGTCAGTTATCTCCTTGAGAAGCAGCCGTCATTTGTTTGGCGCCACTTATTTTTGCAGAACTGCACAGATTTATTTCGAATTGCTCCACTTCCTCAGGAGCGTCTTACCCCATAGAAAAACCTGAAAGCGAGGCAAGCTGGGACCGGTAAAGCTGACGAAGGAGGTGGCGCTGCAGGCCTCACAGTCTAAAGGTTTACCGTTCCAAGAAATCTCCATTTCCTAAATTATTCCGATCTACCATCCCAAGCGATGTAGCCCCCGATATAACATCAGAACCACATTAGGACATATCATAGTACAGTACCTTTGCATTTGACCAATCATCCAGAGCGATGCTCCCCAGCCCCGCTCCTCTATTCAGTACGCGTGAAGACTGTTATTGTCTCAATTGCCAGGCCAGTAAATGTCCGAATGAAGAGGCAAGCCTTCGCAAATGTTACGAGAAAGGCCAGCTTGAAGTCAGACTACAACAGCTGCAAGTGTCCTGTTGGATGACTCGACATGCGTCAGCCAACTCTGCAGCACACCGTGTTAAGCAAGCCCGGTGTGTGGAATAGCTGTGGCTATCTGACTCGATGAGCAGCTTTCCAAAAAGTTATTACCGCAGGCACGGACTTCGTGATTCCCCCCACGGAGTTTGACGTAGCCTTCACGGATTTCACGGAAGATCCGTCCGAGAATGGCACTGCGTGCCGCCTGCAACACCAGTTGGCTCAGCCCCTCAAACATGCTCCTTTCTTCCAAACTTTAAGCCCAACGCAGCTGTACATTCCAGTTTTCTGAGGTGTGGCTCCAGCTTATGCAGGACATCAATCCACAGGTGGATTTCCTGGAGACGAGTAAATGGATCAACAAGAACACACGGCGATGGAAGGCAGGTGGTTTTGTGCTTGACTGCAGGTGGTCTTGACCTTCGGTTGCTGTGGCTAGTATGGGCTGTACGCGCTGAATAAAGCCCGATGCAGGTCTCCTTCGTTACGTACAACGCGGATTTCGACATCCTGACCATCTCCTCGATCCACTTCATCTTGTCCCGATCCGGGCGGATTTGGAAAGAGATTTCGTTCATGAGCCTCTACATGTCTCCCTACGCAAACCTATGGGGGTTGGTCTGGGAGATTCTGTTTTTTGGAAGCATCACGACAATCTTCATTGAAGAGCTGCTGGAGATTATCCGGGGCCTGGAACCTACCGAAAAGTCTTCAGAACTCATGTAGATGCATGCTTTCATGCTTTATTGCCTTGTTAGCTTGAGGTCTTTGCGCCAGGGGTACTGATGGAAAATGTCGCTGCCGCCTGGGCTACTTCTTTATGGACTACTTCACGGTCTGGAACGCTGTGGACTGGTGTTCCATCGTCATTGCCTACACTCTTTTAGGCAGACCCCGCATTGCTGGTATTTAACTTGCATGTGCCAGTAAATGTCTTGAAGTTTTGAAGCTGGTAGACGCTGTAACAACCCTCGAGAATTCAGAACGAATCGATGTGTACTTCTTGACAACTTAGCAGACGTTCCTGCAACTCTCCACCACCCCTGCGCGAGGCATGTGGATTCACCGGTGCATTCTGCTCGCAGACCTGCAAACTACCTTGAGCACATCTTTGGACGTTTGCGCATCCACCCCGAGGGATCGAAACAACTGCGATGGCATGACCGGTGCCTCACCTTCCATGGTATTGCTTTAAAAACCAGGTTGTGCAGGTTGTCAGGGGGTGCAGTGTTGCTTGAGCAGTGTTTCGCCACGTTTGCATGTCTTCAGAGCATTTTTGAAGCTGTGCTACTGCGATTTAGATGATTCTCCTTGTCGTCGGTAGGGCTTCAAGATGCCCAACATGGGACCCCTTACTGTACCATAATGGGTAGAAATATGTATGTATATATATATGTATATATGTATATATACATGCACACAATAATGGGATTCCCTACGAGGGTGTGTGTACATATATATATATACACATACACATCAATATGGTTCCCCAATATAGCAACTGGAGTAAGATCTCTTAAAGATATTTTTGCTGCCAAGAAATGGTCATGGCGCAAGCCACCGCCACCGGTGAAATCGCCTCCAGGACGGCGGTTTGGACAGCTTGTGTTGCAGGCTGTTCTCGCAGATTTTTGAGTCCAGTCCTGGGTTTTTTTTCGACATCCTCCATTTTAGGGTACAGGCAGAACTATCTGTATTTACAACGTCGAAATCAGCATGTTTCTGTTGCCTACTGCTGAAATAGCCAGAGGCAAGCAGGAGTTCCGAGGAAGTATTGAGGACCTGAAAGTGTTGTACTAGTAATACATGCATCCAAAAGGCTCAGTATTAGATAGCACTGCATCGCACGGTTTGCACTTGTGTACTTGAATCAGTTTCGCACATGCAATTCTGATGTCTTCCCCTGCTGCAGTACCAGCCTCGTCCCACACTCAGCGCTCGGTTGTCTCCACTGACTGATGTGGTGCAAGTTGTCCAGACATGAGTGCCTGTACGCCAGGTCAGCAGCCCGACCCTTAGTATGCGCTTGACAGTATCCGATGGACGAAGGACGTGGGTGCCGTAATGAGCAGAACGGTAATTTACCGTATACATGATAGCAAATGAGCAAGATAACTTTAAAAGGGCGCCGTTACCGTCGGAAAGTCTTGCCGCCTGTGATCGTGAGAACGATCATAAGAGCGACGATGTTGATCATCAGGCTGACTATGCAAGAACTGCGAGTAATGCTGGTGAGCCTTTGTCGGTGCTAAGGCTTCTATCCCTTCTGCATCCTGTTGCGGCTCTTCAAGACCTTCTCGCTGCAGCCGCGTCTTGCTGCTACACAGCTGCAAGCAGGATGGGAAGATGCCAGGCGTAGTATATGGAGATCAAATTGGTCCCCATAGGATCCTTGCAAGGGACCCCATAATCCCCCATAATCCCCAAATAGCCATATGGGGTCGTTAGGGCCGCCGCTTTGAGAAATACAAACGGCTCAGGAAATGATTTCAGGACCATGGTGCTGTGAAGGTTGCCTCATGTGAGAGATTTAGATGCTGTGGGAAGATGGGTTTTCAGCCCTAAACCTTAAACCTGCCCACAACCCAGGTGGTCACAAGAACCCTGTGGATGTCATTTGCAGACCTGGCCCCTGGGAAGCAATGTGCCTGTGGAGTAGGGGTCAAGTGGAGATGAGATGGGTGATTTGGAAGTATATAGGGTTGTGTGGGGTTGTATAGGGTTAGAATAACCCCGTTTAGAACCCTCAGACCTTCGAGAACCAATTCGCTTATGCCCCTGGTGGCAGAGCCGCAGAAAGCTAAGACAGGCAATGCAAGGGGCAACAAAGGATAAGGAAGGCTTTGCGGAGCCGACCTGCTTGAGACTAGGTACGCCTGACGTAAAAGGTCACCAAGTCCTCCTGCTAGCTAGCAGCTACTACTTACACCTGCTGCTGCTACATCTACTCCTCCTGCTACTACTTCTACTCCTGCTGCTGCTACTACTCTGCTGCTGGTGCTGCTGCCGCTGCCGCTGTTCAGTCCTACGAACGCACAAGATACAGGCATACTCGAGGAAATGAAATGCGATGGAGAAGAATTCTGTCAGGTTTTTCTCCAGTCCTGCATGCTACAAATGCAGATGCCAGACAGTTCATGTTGGGGTTACCGAGGTTGGGCAAGCAATCAGACAAACTTCTCAAACAACATCCGGTTATGTTCCAGTCATGCAGACAGACTGTTGTACTCCATGGGTAGACGACGCACGCGTAGAATGCCCCTGCTTGGACAGATCCCCAGGCACACAAGTGAGGGATGTGGATTTATTAGTGGTGTCAACACGGAGGGGGGCTCTTGTGTCGCGTATGGATGACACGTTCTTACCGCAGTTCCTCCTTGCTTTGAGAAACATCCGAATGACAAGACCGATACGCAGGAACACGAGGAAAGCAACACATGAAAGCAAAAACATGAGACAACGACAAGCTCAACCACATTCGAAACAGAAAAACGGCAAACTCAAATGTCAACACTGCATTGGATTGCCCATCCCCAGGTGCACTTCGGCATTATCTTCCTTTCTGTGTTCCTTACCTATGTCTTCATGGCCATGGGCTTCTTCGGGCGCACTGTTGAAGGCGTGGTAGCGTCAACTGAGTGTAATCCAGGAAGTTCTCAAAATCTAGGCCTAGTCAGTTTCTCCCAAGTACTGTCGTCTGTACTGTAAGGACCCCAGAAAGGAACATAGGATGTTGCGAAAACGTTGTTTGAATTTCTTTAGAGGCTCCTGCGGCGCTTTGGATGAGCTGCATGCGATTCAGCTAGCATACCTTGCACGCAGTGGAGCCAATCCTGCATTGCAGGCTACGCCGATTTTGGAGTTGCTTTCATCACACTGTTCCGATCATTGATGGGAGATGCGGATTTTCCCGCCATGGAGGATCAGGTGGGCAGGGCCATTGCCCCTCGACTATCTTGGAATTCTTTGCTTGTAGCTGGTGCCTGCCCATAGTAGTACAGCTTGCCAAGTTTGATCGCTCAGGCTGGGGTGTTCCACATCACCTTCATGCTGTGCATGCTGCTGATTCTCCTGAACATGTCAGGAGCTCAGACGGCACCTGATGCTTATGCAAGACACATGTTTCCCGCATTCAGGCTGATTGCCATCATCATGGATGTGTATGGCGAAACCAAGAGGAATGCACCTTGAGCCGCACCACGAAGACCACCTGAATCTAACACTACCACTGGAAGTTTGCCTTGCAAGTGGGGCAGTACTCACATCACAGATGCCCTCGTCCGTCATGTGCAAGAGTTGAGGCGCAGTTCAGCGACCCTGTTTGGAATGACATCTACGACAGGAACTCAGTTGAGAGGAGTTGGAGCGGCCAGCCGCAGCAAGCCACGAAGCATGTTCTGAGTTCTGACAGTTTTGCGCGTGATGAGGATTTCTTCTACAGATGGTATCATGCACGGAAAGGCAGGACACGCTCAAGCTCTCGGGTCTTCGTGCATGGCTTGTGTTCCCGTGGATGTCATCAGGTGACCGCGTCAGCCTGTCCAAAGCCAAAGACTTGTTCATGACCCACCTGGAGGAGAAGGCAGCAGGGGCCAAAGGCAATTGCCAATGTGGAGTTGTGATAAATGGTGGTTTCTCAAAACAGGGGGACCCCAAGAAAGACCTTAAACGATCATAATCAATCCTTATTATGGGGACATCCAACAAGGCAACCCGCTAATTTGTGGAAATCCCCACAGATGAACAAAGAAATCCCCACAGATGAACAAAGGGTTCTTCAAAGACCCAAGTCTTCGGATTGTTGTATCGTAGTGTCATGCCTATCAAGTGAGGGCGACTCTGGATCAACAGCACGTCTACACTTGCGCTCCCCCACCCACCCCCCTATCCGAAGACATCCCAAGCACCTCTATGCTAATCCCTTGGCAATCCCAAGAATAATCCTTCTCGACTTCCCATCCATGCACATGCATCATGGGCCAGGCAGACAAAGAGGATGAAGAAGCAGAAAGAGCAGCTGAGGCCCAGTGCTTTCATCTTACCCAAAGCTGAGAATGGGGGGAAAGGGCTTCATGGACTGTTGTTACTAATTACCGTACAAGTGCGGATTTCAATGGCGTTATATGGTAGCTAATATGAGGATCTCTTCGCTCATGTCCAACGAGGTAAGTAAAACGTCTTCGTCCTCCTCCCCCTATCAGAAAATCAAATCCCCAAATCTGAAATCGCAAGGGGTGTCTCCCTAAGATTTTTCTTACAGAATCAAGTCCCCAAATCTCAAATCGCAAGGGGTGTCCCCCTTACGATTTGTTTCAAAGAATCAAATCCCCAAATCTCAAATCGCAAGGGGTGTCGCCCTAGGATTTTTCTCAGAGAATCAAGTCCCCAAATCTCAAATCGAAAGGGGTGCCCCCTTACGGCTTGTTTCAGAGAGTCAAATCCCTAAATCTGAAATCGCAAGGGGTGTCCTCCTAAGATTCTTCTTACAGAATCAAGTCCCCAAATCTCAAATCGCATCAAGTCCCCAAATCTCAAATCGCAAGGGGTGTCCCCCTAAGATTTTTTCGAGAATCCCAAATGGCAAGGGTGTCCCCCTAAGATTTTGTTTCGGAGAATCAAGTCCCCAAATCTCAAAGCGCAAGGGGTGTCTCCCTAAGATTTTTTCAGAGAATCAGCACCCCAGTTTTCGTCATGTCTTTTTTGTTCTTCTTTGTTTCGGCGGGCGGCGGCATCCCAATATTGTCTCACCTAGATGCAGGTCAAGCTACCCATGTGGGGTTCTCCGGTCTTTCAATTGTAATTATAATCCTCCTGCTGCTGCTGCTGCAATAGTTGCTACTGCTACTACTGCTACTGNNGAGGACGACGAGGACGACGACGACGACGACGACGACGACGACGACGACGACGACGACGACGACTACGACTACTACTACGACTACCATCACCACTACTACTATTCAGCTAAGGCTGGCCTTGCTGCAAGTGGAGGGCTGAAAAGCAAGAAGTCCATGTTCGTGGAGCTTGAAGAGAGCGAGGACATTGTGACCGTGGAGCATCTCATGGAAAAGGCTGACAACCTTTGCTTCAGAACCGCTACCGTAACTGCTTTCGGCAGCTACTTTTTCCATCTCGGCAGCCAGCTTGCCAACTATTATTTCAAAGTGTGGTGGCAAGTGTCGCTGGCTGAATGTGCCGAAGGTGGGAATGGACGAGCACCAAGCCTGGGATTCCATTGTGGAATCTGTTAAGTGGTTCGCTGGGGCCTGAGCTGCAAATTGAAGGCCATAACTGCTGGGTAACATGCACAAGTTGTTGCCAGTGGGGGTCGAACAGGAGAAGAACGCCGAATTGGATGTCCCGACAGTGGAGGTACTCCGAGGTCCGCTTTTGTAGACATCTAAGGTCATGCGGAGAAAGCTAAGCTTGCAAGCGTTTCTTGTTGAGAGTAACTCTTTGCAATCTGCGTGGCACTCCAGCCGCGCTTTCACTGCATTCATGCTGGGTGTGGTGAAGGCCTGACAGGAGTCGCAGGTCACAGATGGAATGAATGAGCAAAAGCTTTCAGAACTTGATGAGATGCGGACCTGGATGGTTAAAAGACTGCGCCATGGTAGTCCCTACAAAGTAATGTGCCCCGAGATCCAGTTCTACTTCTTCGGTCCCTCACACTGCTGTGTGTCACGTGAATATTAGCCATACTCTAAACTCCTAGCATCCCCCTTAGCAAGCCCTATAGTAGTCCCCTACATAATCCCAGATGTAAGGAGTTTAGACTATAACTCACGTCAAGCCAGCGATGCCCTCTGTGCTCGGGTAAAGCCTCTTCTGCAAGCAAAGCGATTGCACAAGATCAAACATGCCATGAGACACTGTCACGTTTTGCCCCTGGACAGGTGTGCGGCAGGTGTGCCTTGGATGCAGTGAGCCTCATGGGCAAGCAGCGGTTTCAATCAACGTGACACCCCAAAGAGTGACCACTTCATACTTATTGAAAGCTCTTTGTGATCGGTTCTGGTCCCTTCGCAGAAGATGGGCCTTTCTGGATTCTGCAGGCATTGGTTACACTCGGATTTTGAGCTAACAGCAGATTCAAGAGCTCGACATAGATTGCTGCTCCGCTATCAACCCTCGATTTGGCTATACTGATAAGAAGTGTCTCAATCTAAAGCACGAAGGAGGCAGCACCAACGATACCACGAACAACGCAATGAACGTCACAGCTTCTTTTTGGAATGACGTGGTTGCAAGCACCGAAGTCCTAGCCCCCGCTGTGTAGTTATCCTCGTTTCCTTCACAACAGTACTGATATGAATATGCGGCACTTCGCAGAAACCTTTGATGAACAGCTCAACATAGCCCAATGGTTGATCCCTGCACAACCCATACCCTGGCAGGAAAACACCCAAGACATCGGCAGTTCACAACCTGCAGCAGCTAAATTAGCCATAATCTAAACTCCTTAAAGGGGGGTGGGTTTTATAGTGGATGATATAGGGGACTACTATAGGGGTTGTCAAGGGGGATACTAGGAGTTTAGACTATAGCTCAAATTGAATGATTGTTCTAGAAGACAGTAAGACTTTCATGATCGAACCTGAAACTTGAGGGTTTAGGGTTATAGTCCCCCTTAAGTAGATAGAACACGGGATGATCAGATCCCCATACGCCCCATATTCTATCTGCTTACGCGGAACTATACTCCTAAACCCTAAATAGCAGATTCCATTTTCTTTTCCATTATTCCAATATAACCCCCCTATTCTATCTCCTAAACTCTAAACCCTACCATCATTGCTGCAGAGGCAGACTCGACTTGGTTGCCAGCCAGTCCTGCACCGCTCTACGACAGCAGCCCTGGACCTGTCGGGCATGGACCAGGCGAGAGAATATTATGGTAGGTTATAGTAGGTTATAGTAAATTATAGTAGGTTCTAGTAGATTATAGTAGTTTGCAGTATATTATTTTAGGTTAGAATATATTCTAGTAGGTTATAATATATTCCCAACAGTAATCCCATGAGTAGTCCTTACCTAATCCCTTATAATCCCTTACAATCCTCTACAATGCAAAGAATGAAGGAATCCATCCCTGTACCGGTCCCTGTGTGATCCCTCCCAGTCCCTGTAGAGCACAAGGAGATGCGGGAGTTAACAGGTTCGGCTGTGCCAGGAGTTTTTTTTTTCAATGTTTTTGTCTAGAGTCAAGAGTTTGGGTGCTGGCGTAATGTTCAGGCTTTAGGTCCAGGCTTTAGGCTTTGGGGAGTTGCATGAGTTTTTCTTCCCGACCGACTGCTACTGTGCTCCCTCTAGGGGTCCCTGCAGTCAGTGTATCTACTGATGCGCCTTGACGATACCCCAAAGTGAATGCTATGTAGAAGGTACGTGGGGATCTGCGTGAGAACCCTTTCTTTGGGGTGTCATTATAAGTCATGCGTCACAAGCGGCGCGTGGGAGAAAGTTGGCTGAGGGGCGGGATGGAGCAGTCACAAGACAGCGTCTAGAGGCCATATCCCCGCTTTCCCCCTCAAAGGGTTCGAGGAGAGCATGCTGGGGCCGTTTGTCAGGCTGACGGTGGCGCCGCCAAGGAGAAAGTGTCTCGGCCAGATCATGCAGTCAAATCTCCTTGCTCCTAGTTGCAAAAAGCGCCGAAATCATGAACGATTGTTCTGAGGGTTCCATGAAGGGTAGAATCCTGAGGGAGAAAAAGTGGAGACTTTGACGGACCCAATGGTCCAGGTCGCCATAGGGCTGGGGCCTCAGACAAGACCCTGTCCTGCAGCTGTTGCATGATTTAAGTCGAATCTCAGGCCAGATCTGAAAACCATGATAGCGGACAGCCTCAGACGCCTGGAGTTTGAGAGTGGCATGTCAGCGCGCCACGTAGTTGCAGTTTGGCAAGTATGACCACGGCCCTCTATCTCCTGTAGCGACACGTCAAAGAAGCCAAGGTTCCAAGAAGATGGTTTCACAGCTCCTAGACACAGCCCAATCACTTGTCGAAGACGAAGGGATTGAGAAGAGGCAGGTGGAAGACTTTCGTGGTCTCATCTAAGTTCTTGCCATGATTGTAGACATCTGCTCAGAGGCTGTGATCCAAAATGATGAGCACTCAAGGCGGGTATCGCCAGAATGCACAAAGTCATGCACGCCGATCCCGACAAATTTTCACCAGCACAGTCACTCTCTGAGCCCCGATGATTACACAGCTTGCTTCGCTAGTGGAGAGGGATACTCGTAACAAGCGTCAGAGAGTCCCTGTGTCTGGCGACGAGCAGCCTCTGCAATGTGAGCTGTGCCTTGCATCTCATACGTACTTGGAGATGCGTGGTTAGCTGCATGGCAGGGCAGTCGCAGACACAACGATATGTTTTAAAGCATGCCCAGTTGCCATGAAACTATGGCGCCTTGCGGAAAGCGCGCTCCATTGCGAAAGCAAGATGCGGAGCAAGCAGCTGGCCGTTGGTTTAAAAACGAAGCGAGTGCCCCGCTGCTGTTGCATCTGCTGCGCATCTTAACTGATACTGCTGCCGCTTGACTAAATGCGGGAGACGTCATTCGTTTAAATGTGCGCTTCTGATGACGTATCGTGACTCCAGCAGGTGCCACGCCGCAGGAGAGAGAAAGACAAAGATATATCTCCGCCACCTCCCGAACCACCAAGGTGGCTTGTTTAGCGTGTGTTGCATTTTTGGGGCCTATCCCCAAGAGGCTTATGCTCTGGGGCGCAGGCCTTCACAAGGAATGCCAATGACAGCTTTGTGGCAAATGCCAGCATGGCCCTCAGTTCGACATGCGTGACAGCTGCAGGCTGGTTTTGCTACTTGGCGAGGTTCTTTACACGCCCCGCCCACTGAATCTTGGGCCAATGACGAAGGTGTGATTGCCTTGTCTAGCCAGATGTCAAGTTGCGGTGGAATCCGTAGGCGAACAGTGGTTGAACATACAAAGAGATGGTCTTCGGAGAACCCTCCGGAGCCTGTCAACTGAAATAGCTTGCAAGCTGCTGTCAATCAGAACCATTGCTGCATGCCTGGGTTGGAATGCTTCCTTGTCACATCTCGCAACGAATGCCATGACGGAAGCTTGCAACAACATCTGGCAGAGGAGGTATGCATGCAGCACATCATGGCTGTCGTTAGCTTACCATCCCGTACAGCGTCCCTTCTTGAGACGTTTCGTTGTAGGATCACTGTAAGGTTATAGGGAGGAGGATTCTCAACAGTACGGATATGGCTGGAACGTCATAATTATGTACGAGAGGGGGGATGTTTGAGAAGGGCACATGGGTTGAGAAACTCCCTTAGTCATCTGCTTGCAACAGAACAGCTGTATTCGCAATAATTCAATCATTGCATGGACTACCAAACTCCCGCATTGATGATGGTACCAGTGGTAGGAGGATGGATGCACAGGAGGAGTAGCACTGTGTGCAGCAAACTTCCATAATGATCATGGCGTATTACTGCAAGGGTGTATTTCTCTAGCAGTCACCATCGCATGAATTACAGACCCTAACCCTGAACCCTAAACTCCAAGCCCTGAACTCAAGTCAAGCAGAATGGAGGCTCACGACGGCTTACGTAGGTAGGACCGGCCAAGTAGCCATCTCCAGAGCATAGGTCCGGCGGGCACGAGCCCTTTCAGGCTGCCGGACATGGCGTGTTTGTATACATGCATATATGTCTATGTATATGTAAGTACACGACGTCTATGCCTAGGATATTCACCTACAACTCCCTCATGTGATCGGTTCTGTGCCACTGCCGGCCCTATGCCCTCGATTGTACCCTATACGAGTAAAAAGGGCATGGGAAGCTGGGCACCTGTCCTGACAAGGCCTACAGCTAACTTGGGGCGTCCCAAATTGGTTGGGTTTTCTGTGAGGAAGTAGGTATACACAGGGATCTGATTTTGAGGAATACCAAAATTACTTCTGAAGGCCTGAGGAAAGTGCGTAGCTGCTCCATGCCCATTGGTAGCTACAGCGCTGTTCTAATTGTAGGAGAGACCAAGGAGTTTGTGGAACAAAGTGGCCGCACTTTTGCTGCTGAATGCATACTTGAAGCATCTAGCAGATGCGCGCCACGGTCCTCACCTCATTGATCTGAACATGTTGCTTCAGCTATTACGGCCCTACCACAAAGCTAGAACAATCAAGATCGGGCTTGAAGAGCTGCACAGGTCAAGCTGGTAGCGGCAGCAACAGCACAACAGAAGACCTGCACAATTCGGCACAAGCTCTTTCAGAAAACCTTAGCAGAGCAAGATGCAACCATAACGGAGCACCGCAGGCACACCTGGCATACCTGAAGAGAGCATCAAACAATTTGAGTTGACTTGCAGCTGACTTGCTTCTCGGCTTCGTCGCATGAATGCAGATGTCGTTGCAGAGGCAAGGAATCTGAAGCGGGCTGTATGATGAAATTGTCAGATGTCATGCTGGACAGGAGAGCCTTACTGTTTGTTTTTCACGACCGTGCCCAATCGAAGCATGTGCTGAAAAAAACACAGCGTGGTTCTATTTGGCACTCGAATTGTCGTCAACATCCAGTACTGATTAAACCTCGGGGCCCAGGTGGGCAACCAACCCTGCGGCCAATTACAGTCATTTTTAAAATGCCAGTAGCGCAGAGTGAGGGCGAAGGCCGCATTGCAAGCGAATTGTTGAAGGCGTGCTTTAGTATTGGGCAAGGAGAGTAGTGATGTCCAGAGATGAGGAGCCTCATAGCAGGGCCAAGAAACGGAAGTTCTTATTGGGTAGCTTGGAATGCTGAGTGCTCACTAGTCGCTATGAGTATGAGCTGGGATGAGGCGTGTGAGGATTCCAAGGTCTGCTATAGATATATCTGGGCCCTCGCTGGTTACCTGGTTGCACCAGACTGTGACCCGTGAGCTCACAAGCAGGAGAAGCACAGGGAAGCTTTGAGAAAAAAGACAAATCCGGATGGCCACGCTGCTACATTACCGCAAGCAGCTCTTAATAATAACAAGCCAAGAATAGGACATTAAGCAGCTAAAGACAAAGCCGACAAGCCCGTGGATTTGCAGCCCTTTTCGAAAGGCTCTGGCCGTTGCAGCCTTGGGGGCCGAAGCCGACAAAACTGAATCGCTGGAGGCCGTGGTGGCGCCTTGGGGCTCAGAGTTTGGGGAATCAGCTTGTAACATTGTAGCTACAAATTGTAGCATAGCGCCTCATAAGGCCTCATAGGGCATTTGGACAGACTTTGGAAAGAATGGACCATCTAAATACGCCTTTGAAGACTGTAGCACGCCTCGTACGAGTCCGAGTCATTGCGAGCACATGCAATTAATTTGTGATTTGGATGATTTCGGCATTGGCCTAGGCCTGCTCACTTAAAGTATTTAGCAGGTAGCTGACCAGGCTCGCGAGCAACTGCCATTCCTATGCTCACCCCTACAGCATTCCACATCTACCTTAATTCCTACACGATATCCCTATGCGGACTGCCTCTTCCCTCTGCAACTTGCCACTTTCTGTCAAGTTGTGGAGGTGATCCTTTCACGTTTGGACGCCTCCAAGCATGAGACCCTCCTTCCTGGCCAGTGCTCTGAGGCGTCAGCGATGCTTTCGTGGTGGTAGCTCAACCCGTAGCTATTCCCTCACCAGATGCAGCGGGGAGGTGTTTGATTCGTCGGCATTTGCCGTTGCACGTACGTCTCAGAGGACGCTGTGCACTGTGCTCGTGGGAGTCGTACTTGATGGTTGCGCATTTGTGTAACTCCGGAATATGAGTTGAGGACTCCCATGCAAATGGTCAACTTGGTCAACATGAAACTCATGATTTTCCTGGTTTACTTTGATACGTGTGTTTCATAGTGATAAGAGCATAGGCTAGTGTACCTGATCTAAGCTTTTTAGAGTTGTTCCAGCTGACCGTTGTCATGTTCCGTGTAGAGCTGACTTCAGCTGCCAGGACTCGGCGAACTGGCGGGCTTGCGCAGCATCCAAAGCCTTTCTCCCCTGCCCGCACCACGGGAGGCGCTTTTCTCGGCGCAGGCAGAGGGGTCATTTCTTGATGCTGGCTGCATATGAATGTTCCTTACAAGTGAGAGAAGCTAAGTTACTTGTACCAGCTAGAAGTAGCTGCGATGCTGCTTTCTGTGGATGTTGCTATTCCTTCTATTCGAAGCTTGTTCGCCCAGCAGCTCAGTTGGCTTCAGCAACCACACAGAATTTGCGTCAATGCTTGTTGCATGTTGCGCGTGATCCCTTGCTTCCGTGAAAGGATTGCTTTTGAATGATGCTGGCTGGTTGGCAGGTCACTTGCCCCACCGTGATCTGACCTCTTGGGAGCAGCAGAAAGCCATAATGCCGGAGAACTTAGTCTGCAGCTGTGGACACACCTGCTGCTTGCACCTTCTGCAGTATGCTGCTTCAGGAGTGGATCCTGATGATAATCAAGATGCAATCCCCGTATTCGCCCTTGAAATAGTGCCCATCCCTCACTTCCTCTTTAGCACCAGCAAGCTGCCGGTGTCACTGGAGGCCTGAGAGAAGTTGGAGCCAGTCTGTGCCGAACTCGGAGATGGGCATGTGCCAAGATTGGAGCCCCTAGGCCCTAGGCAGGGATAAGAAATGAGAGCCTCATCAGGAATATTGGTGAAACCATCTATGGGGACGCCTTCTAGGGAGAGGGGATGTAGAAGCCTTACATCAAATAGATTTGGGCTTGGAGCATTTGGGGGCTTTCCAATAGGTATGCCGGGCAGACCTCCTAAGCCTTGACCCCGTTGACTCCAGAACCCCGCCCTCCTCTTTCGGTGAGTATAAACCCTTTGCCCCTAATGCCTAAACTCCTCGATTCTTCATCCCCACACCCCAAGCCCTCAGCTTTCAAACTCTGTCCTCATCCCCCTAGACTCTTGCATAAACTTTGAATTCCATAGCTCCTCAGCCCATTCCTCAGGCCATGACCTGTGTGATGCGGAGTGGCTTGGCCGGATGCCTACGCCGCAAAACTCCACATTAGAATCTTGGCATGTTTGGGAGATCGAACGTTGGGAAACATTGATGTACTGTATTTTTGTTGTTGTCCAGGGCAGTCTGCTTGCGCTGAGTCCATGTCGGCGCCTTCTTCACCGCTTCGAACCAGAGGTGCGCAAACCCACAGCGTTTTCCTCAGACATCATGGCAGGTTCTGAAAATAGCTCCAATACAATCTTGCATGTTTATATCCCATTATGCTTGCGCAGGTGCCTAGGCACAGTGTGTTCGCTTTGAAAGCCGAACCTGCCCCGCTTGATTCAGGTCAGGGCATGTTCGCGCGTTCTCCTGCGCGTGTTCCAACCTTAGAAGCTTGATGGTTTCAGATGAAAGGCCGAGTGTGACCCCGGACTACACGCAATGCCATAGTCATGCCATCAAACTCAAGCTGACTCGCAGAAAGAGCTGAATAGCACAGAATCCAGCAAATGCAAGGCAGATGATTTTTTGGAGAGTGATGAGAGGATGCAGAGGCGAGGTTCTTGGACAGCCCAACATTTCACATGGCTTGGTGGGTGCGGTGCACGCTCACAGTTTTCAGGTTTTCAGCAACATCTGCCCAGATTCAAAAAGGCGGACAGATGCCTGCTGTTGAGATTCCTCAGCACGCGTTGTAATCTTGCTGTGACGAACATGGATGTGCAGGCGCAAGCTATGCCCCTATCAGCGGACTGAGAAAGGCTGGGCCAAGATGGGCCAAGCTCATGCTGATGACAACCACATGCCTTGTCTTCCTACGGCCTATAGTCCTCTTTAGGCCACACTACATAAGTACAATGCGATGTTGGACAGCATTCAGTCGCAGTGCCAGGGTCCTGCTGCAACAATGTCGAGGCAGGACTGCACATGTACTGAGAAGCGTGACAAAGTCTGAAGGGGTAGCTGTCAAGATTATTCAAGATTGTGAACTTTTTCTCAGGCCCTTGTCATACAGGGCCCGAAGTATAGGATCCTGGTTTGCAACAGCTCCCCACATCATCTTGTTGGCAGCATGTGGAAATGGAAGATGCTTCAGCTTGGCAGGGCTGCACTAACCTCTCAGCATGGACCATCAGCTGGCGGTCCATTTGCTGGGCGCGGAGAGCTCAGACAGTACTGATAATATTAATAATAAGTAGTATAAGCCCAATATACTATAAAGTCGCTTCCATTTTCTTTTCCATGATCCCAATCTTATCCCAATAGGGTACCTATATCCCATCATGTTTGCAAGATGCCTGCGAATCTCTATTGGAGTTTCTCTATAGGAGCTTCTCAAAGCAGTTCCTTTACAATCCCTAACAGGGGTCCGTCTTCGCCCTTTGTCCCCAGGCAGCCCCCGTTTTTGGGGGAATCCGGACATTTTGCTTGCATGATGGAACCTGTTTGCAAATCAGTTTGATGTTGCTTCACGTCTTTTTGCGTCCGGGATCAGGCCGTGCGGTGCATGACCGTAGCAGTGCGGCATCAGCCTGGCGCACGAAAGCAGATGCTGCAGCAGGCCCCTCAGGTGTTCAGCAGTCTTTGCAGCAAGCCCAAGCGCAGAAAGGAAGGTTTCTCAACACGCAGACCCCTGATGCAGCCCCGAGAACTAGGATCCTTTCATAAAGACGCATCATTGTCTCTCAAGCCTCAGGCATCATCCTACAACTATCTGGGACCCGCCGCAGACGGGCCTGCGCCTCAGCCAATTGAGCGGAACCATGCTTCTTCAGGGTGTTTGCCGCACATGGGCCACCATCGGGTTGTTCTCAACATTGCGAGCTGCTCTTTGGGGTCCTTTCATGAGCTCTGCAGCATCTAGTGACACATGAGGGAGCCTGAATCTTCAACAATGCTTGTACGTAGTCATTCGATCCGAGGCCTCCTCTACCGACAATTCATCCGCTTTGGAGTTGATGCTTGGGTGGTTGTAAACAACATGGACCGTTTTGGGGCACCCTGCACAAGATTGGCACTGTACTACATTTGGGCAGTCCTATAGCAGGGACCACGCCTTGAGCTCGTTGGGAACTCAAAAAAATGTCCTAACTACGGAAAATCCTGGTTTTGACAACCACCCACCTGCCAGTGCTCGCCGCTTTTCCATTGGCCAAGCCATAGCAGTCGGCTTTGGAGCATGGTTGTTTAGTAATGTCGTCCGCGATTCAGACACCCCCTGTCCTTTAAGGACCCAACTGACCAGGTGGTTGGCAGAACATGCCTTTGGAAACCTATATTAATCTGCTAATATTATGGTGCCCATGTTGGCGGCCCAAAAAAGGACTTCAATTTCGACAGGTCCAGGTGATCATCACCCGAAGTTCATCTATTTCGTGGAGTCGGCAGTTTAATCCCCTAATTCTGGAGCAACTGGGTTTTCGGTTCGGGGACGACATTCGAGATGCCGTAGTGATTAGTAGGGAGAGGCATGCAATCAGGCTGCGTGCTTGTATGCGGCCATGACCGGGCAATGAGCTCGACGTTTGCGAGTAAGCGGACAGCAAAGAGATAATGTGGAGGCTGGGGGTACTTTGATTTGTCAAGATCATAGGCATTCTTATGACGGTCCTGGTAGTTAGCGCTACAGGCTCTACCATATTGGGCAGAAGTGGCCCCTAGCTGTCAGAGACTCCCATATTACGGGATGCCTCAATTGCTGTCTGCGTGATGCAGTGGAAAGCTTGATGCCACTTGAGACCAGCCATCTCCTTGTGTTGGCAGCGACGAGTCCTGTGAATGCATGTCTTGAAGTATCCTCACAGGAGAATTGGTGACAAATCCAGACGCAGTAAGGGCAGCAGTTGCTGACATCTGTCACCTAGTTCCAGTCAGAGGCATCCAAACATCCAAACTGGAGCAAGCTTGCAGCAAGTTGTGTGCACAAGCGAAGATGGCACTTTGCAAGCTGCAACACTCGCCCATGCGGCGCGCGCATGGGCTCCTGACGTCTGCGCTTCCCTGCGCCACAGGCGCGCACGATGCGTGGAAATCTATCTTTCCGTGCTTGGGGAAACTTGCTGTGTAAAGTCAGTTGGCACCAGTCCCAGCTGGAAAAAAATGACGGGAGCTTACAGAGTATGATGGGTGTTCAATTCAGTTAGCCAGGAGCGGATGAGCAATCTCACCATCTGACAAGTCCCTGCCATCCCAGGCTGGACTTGGCATGGGGCGCAATGCCAGACCACAGGCACTACGACAGACCTGATGACGCAGGACGTTTGCACGTGAGCCAGCAGCGAGAAACGGAAATCCCATTCACTCTCGTTTGCTGCTGTGCAGGACGGCTGCTAGCAACCAAAAAGTGGTTGCAGTGGCTTCAGTCCGTCTCTGAGCACGGTTCATCACTTGCGACAGTTTGTCTTTTTTGGACTTGGAACGTGACTCCCTCATCTGGTTTCGTGATGTTTTGTGTGGCATCAGACATGGGGACACCTCTTACGAGGGCTGGACTGTTACCTACTGATGCGGAACATCTGTGGCAAGTCATGCCAATGCCATTCGCTATGGTGGATTCCTGAGTTCCGGGTGATATGGAAGAGGGACTGTCTGTTTTGGCACTTGGGCCCTGCACGCTGGGCTTCGGTCGTTCGCTTCGGCAGCAGTGCAGCAGCCAGTCCTTGCCGCCTTTTCTATATCGGTTTCACCAAACTTTGAAATGTTGCAGACGGGTAAGTGGCGCTTCTGTCACAGCATGATCTGCTACGTTGCTTCATCTCACTGGCCATTAACTTGTAAAATTGCGTCATGTGGGACAGGATCGCCCTTCCTTTACAAGACATTTGTTTTGCCAACGCCTTGCAAACATGCGGCATCTTAAGGGGATCAAACGACAGTCTCATTGTCAGCGGAGGTGATGGGTCTGGCACGGCAGTTGCGGCAGGGCCTGGCAGGCGCCGGGGTAGTATGTCATAATAGGACACTGGAAGTGGGAGGAAGCTGGAGCAGGGGTCCTATGATTCGGCTTCTAGATCAAGGTCTTGCAGCGGCTGTCTGCCTTTGAGATCTATCTTGAAGTGAGCAGAGGCCTTGGTGCCTATGCTCTGTGCCTGATGGGAATCCTACTGGGTGCAGCCCCCAGCTGCCCCAGCTGCAAAAGCCAGAAGGAAGAGGATGAGAAGCATGCTTCAAAACAGTAGAACCCTTGGCTAGCCCAAAAAGGGACCCCAGCGGTACGTGCTTCAATCTATGAAAGATTCTGCAAGGGGTTGCATTCATAGGGGCCAAGAGCCGTACGACTCTTGCCACTCTTCGTTGACCACAGGTCCATCAGGACATCTCGGAGGAATGTTTGGACCTTTCATAGCCTGACAGCTTAGATCTGCTTGCAAGAGACCACGCCCATGCAGATGCTTGAGGAAGTTAAAGCGCATGCGAGCTTGTAAGCCCAGCCCAGGCTGTGATTTCAATCACTCTCATTTGCGCGAGTTCAGCCTCAGATTTTGGGATGTGCACGGAATGCCTCTCATGCACCTGGTTTTGGAAACGTGGGGGAAGAATCTGTGCAGTAGGTTTGAGACGCATTCCTATAGTAGTGTGAGTGTCATACAGAGCTTTTGGCATGGCGCATTGCAAGGTGGTGTTCACATCGTTCATGTGATGAGTGGGAGCTGCTTCTCGGAAGAGAATGCAGGCCAGTTGATGCTGTGCCTGGACCGTCCGAAGCTGACAAAGCTTGAAAGGTCAACACTTCGTCTTGGCATTTGCATGGCTAATAGCGGCGGCCTTACTGCTCAACTGTGGACGCCCAGATGCAGTGGATGCTAATCCCTTCCAGCTCTAGCCGTTGCACAGAAATCCCCACAAGAGATACGGTGCAAAGGGCCAGATCTGCCAAAGACCAATCGGCGTGATGGCCTTGTCCTTCAGATCCTGGCCATGATGCTGGCGGTTGGAATGGGCCCAACACAGATCGCCGTGGAGCTGAACCTGGCCGCTGGCTCAGGATGCAGGGCGCAAACTCCTGGGAGGCACAGTGGCTCTAGAAACGTCTGCTGGTGGCATGACTTACGCAGCAGGATGACTTTGTAAGCAAGGTTAAAAATTACCAAGCATGCTACTCAGGTCCCAGATATCCATGACGTCAGCGTATGTGTGGGCAGCTTACTTGAACCCCATGGCGTCATGCTGGTCGACACCCGGTGGCCAGAGCGTCCCAGGACTGGCCCAAGTGGAGCGACTCAGGAGGTGGAGCCTGGAACTTAAGCTACGCCCTTCTGCTACCTGCGACTGGCAGAAAACCTAACTCAGTCAAGGTTTACTTTCGTGATGGCAGCACGCAGCATGGCAACAGCCCGGAACCTACGCAGAAATCCTGCCTCAGAGTGACACGACCAGTGATGCATGCTGCCTTCTCTGCTGAGCCATGCTCACGCTTGGTTGCATGCAAGCCTGTGTCGAAGTAGTTTCCGTCCTCTTTCCTGTTGCAAAGGAGGCTCCTTCGCCTTGACCTGCTTCCGCTGTGCCAAGGCGGAGACGAACTCCACATCTCTCAAGTGCTCCTGAAGAATTGCGATTTTCAGGGTTTCCGCTCGGCACCAAGGGCTGAGGATGATCAAAGCAAGCCAATGGTGTACAGGGTTCTTGAAACTCTTGAAGCATTCTAGCAATCTGCAGCCGCGACGGATGGTGAAACGCTGGGAGTTGCACCAACAGAGCAAGAGACTTCCCTGTTCAGGGAAGGCTGCAGCCATCTCGCCGGCTCATACTGTAGCAAGCTACTGTAAGCTCCCGCAATGCCATGGGGCTGCCGTTCCTTCAGATTGAAGATCCAGGCGCTGCTTTGCGACAATCGTTCCTGGCAGCTGCTCCTACTGTCAGATCATGTCAAAGTGGAGCGATGGTCAATACTAGCGGATTATAGACGTGGAGAAGGAATGCCGTGACATTCAGGAATCGCGCAAAAAGCACCAAAAGCGATAAGACGCCCAATACCGCTCAATCCAAGACGAAACCATGACTGTGTTTTGGCTGAACCCCACACAAGCGACACCTTTCTTTCATCCCACGTTAAAGCACCCAAAAGCGATAGGACTCCCCCCAACTTGTCCGTGGCATCGGGTTAAACAAGGAATTTCGGCAAACGTTCACATAGTGACATAGTACTGTAGCAGCAGACGATCTGCAAGATGACAATCACAGAATTGGTGCAGACACTGCAAAACTGCCGCCAAAAGTACGTAGAGTCAGCATGTGCAGTGGATCCAATTGCATATGCTGCTGGCATCAAATCAGCAGGCCAAAATCCCAAGAATACTGCAGGAGCCTCTACTCTACTGTCACCTATGTAGAAAATGATGGCATCAGAGTGTTTTGATCTTTAGAAAGCTTTGATCTTTGGACTTGGCAGGCACCCCTGGCGCCTCTGATTGCCGTGAGCTGCGCCTGGAACCCGGGATGACGCCCATACTTGTGGTCCACGAAACTCAGGCCGACTGGCTATTTCAGAAGATTTTGGGCTGCGGCTTGGGTATCAATTGTGTTGGGGTACACCGGGACCTCGATTCGTTATGTTGTAGCAGTAGCATTAGAACCCCCCCAAAAGTACCTCCAGTTTGGGACGCGCCAATGTCTGTCACAAGCTTTCAGGAGCTGGAGCCAGACTCTGTGGACCAGGCTTCAGGCATGGGATGCTTCTGAAAAACTGGGCTTTTTTGTTGAACGGCTTCTATAAAGAGATCTACTTGGGATTCCAAAGCCGCAATCATTGAGTCCTCAGCACAGCCTTGAACACTGTGATCTTCATTGCAGGGATCATACAAAGAAAGGACCAAACTTTCTAGACACCCTTCCCAAACTGGTTTAGGGGGAATCCAATCCTATCTGAAAAGCACTCCGAATCGCCCCCTAACTCAACCCTATAGATTCCTACAGTAACCCAATATAAACCTACCTAAGCCCCATAGAATCCTAGAGAACATCCCCTTGCAGGTGGGCTTCTCTGGGAAACTGCATTAGACCTAGCGCGTCACCTTTGGGCTTTGCCATCCTTGCTCACTCCGAGGTTGGGTTGCTGATGCCCAATAGGGGTTTAGGGGTTTAGGGCTTTAAGGCTTTANNTTAAGGCTTTAAGGCTTTAGGGCTTTAGGGCTTAGGGGTTAGGGCCCTATAATGGAGAATCAAATGGAAAAGAAAATGGAAAATGGAATGGAAACTGGGATTATAGCTGACTTGGGAGGTATAGGGATGTATGGGGATACGCGGTGTATAGGGTTTAGGTAGGGCGAGGTAGGGATATATGGGGTTATATATGGTTTGGGTAAGGTAATATAGGGATGTATTATGGGGTATCTAGGTATTTATAGGGTTTAGGTACATCTTCACCTGTCATCAGATAAGTAAAAGCGATTGCATGAGTCATTGCAAGTCTTTTGTGATGATGTGCGCTTTGGGCCAAGCTTTCAGGAGAGAGGCAAGCGCGCGCTGCCTCCTTGATGCAACATTGGAGGTGGTTGCCAGGATTTGGGGCTTGGAATAGATGATTAAGGCCTTTCCAAGCTCATATGAGTGATGCATTGGGAGTCTTCAGGCTGTTAGTTCCAAGGCCCACTTCGCTTACACGGGCTTTGTGTAAGAGCCCTGGACCGTTTCATTCCAGGTCTACTGGAAGACTTTGCTGTTGCTATTACCCAGGTTTACCACGCCGAACGAAGAGCCACTCTCGTAAACAATTCAAGGGCTCCCCGCTGAGATTTCTTCTATGCGCTTAGGTAGTGTAGAAGCCTGAGTTGGAGTTTTCAGCCCTTCATGCTCCGTACAGACTTAGACTTGGTTCCTAGTGTCCCATTGTACACCCGAGCCGTATTCTACTTTGTTCAGCCTATATTCAAGCGTTCACACTGTAGTCTTTGCATGTGACATAGGACTGGTCGGTTGTTTCGACCATAGCCTTCCGGAGTAATACGATCAGTAGCAGGGAGTATCCACAGGGACCTTACCTCATTGTTCACGATTAGTTACAGACATGCAGAAAGAACTGCTCAATACCATTCAAGAATCTTCATCAAGGAGTTTGCAACTTCTAGGCTGTACCAAGTAGTACAGTGGTGTTAAAACAACTGGCACTAATCTTCCTATTGCAGCTTCCACAACTCCCAACAGCACTACTAGCCCGTGTTTACACATATGACTCAGGTCGTGTGCTGGAGCTTGGAGCTGGGCACGGGCTACCTGGCCTAGTAGCCCTACGCCAGGGCTGCCAGGTGGACTTTCATGACCTGAGATGCTTGGCTGAGGCGTTGGGGGTTCAAATTCATGATTATGTAGACATGCCTACTGCAAGCAGCAATGTCATTGCTATACATATCGCAGTGACTGATGTTATGTTAGTTTGCTGTCATCGTCAGGACATCCATGGCCACTGGCAGGATCAGTTCGTACTCATGTGCGTGTGTGTGTCACAGTTGAGAAGAATCCTTGCAAGGTCCATTGCGCACAAAGTTCATAATGATAGCCGTGATGGTTTTCACGAGAGGAAGCTAGCTGTAAAAAATGGGTCTGAGGCGACAGACTCCTGTCCCTCAAGAAAGTCGTGCAAGGAACTGGAATAAGCATTTTACCTAGAGTATTGCCGCAATGATAGGACCACCACGCGCAGAGCTGTTCATGTCCTTGGTGCAGCAGGGGACGGATTGTCACAGACAGCAATAAACACACAAGGCATTGATGCTACAGGTAGCGCAGGCAGCTTTGGCTTCATTTGCCAAATTAAGCATGAGGTAAAGATGACATTGCTTGAAAGGGTGACTTCCGCCTTTTGGTGTTTTCGTGGCTTGCTTTTGACTAACCCTATAGAAACTGTCATGGGTCCGCTGCGAGTGCGATCGATCTTCTTTCCTACAATCATCACCCGTCCAGGGCATATCTGGGTATCCTAGGCGAGCACACTTTGCGGCACGTCACAGCCGCTAACTGTGCTGCAAATGGCATCTGCGTGAAGTGGCCGGCTGTCGAGAGCCCAGGAGAAAAAACATGCTGTTATCGACCATTAACTGGCTACTGTAATGGGGGGGTGTCTAAAATCTAAGCGGAAATAAGGGTCTTTGTCTGGGGTTTCTTATACGAAAAAGATCTAGCATTCGCAGAATTGCGCAAGGTGCCGTTGTTCTTAGACGTGGTTGTAGGATGTTGGCAAACGGAGCACCTGGTCGGGTCAGGACAGAAGGAAGATGTCTCGGGAGTGCGCTTCATCGATGGCGATTGGAAGTCGTTGAAGTGCAAGGCCGTTGTCCATGAAAAGGAGCCGAATGAGGATAATGACAACGCTATGCGGGAACGGGAGCAGCACAGCAAGATCTAGCAAGTACAGTAGCAAAAAGCAACCAACAGCAATGCGTGTATCCACTTCCACAGCCAAGCATCATACTGCTTTTCGCGACTGTCAGTTGGGCCGTTCTGATTTCTCACTTGGAGCACCCTAAACCTTAATTAAATAGTTGTTTCCATTCTCTTTTCCCTTATATAACTCCCCATGTAGCCTTCATACCCCTATATAACACATTTAGTCCCTATATAACCCGATATAGCCCTTGGAGCACGGAGGCCGCGGCCTCGGGACTGCTGTACGATTTGATTCTCGCATCAGAGGCGGTCTACAAGGCTGGCATTTGGTTTCCCAAAATTAGGGGTTCCTTTGAAGGGTTATAGGGAATATATATATATATATACATATTATTACATATTATATTTATGTATATATATATGGGTTATATAAGGGTTCACGTAGGGGTATATAGAGTTTAGGGATTAGGGTTTCCCAGCATCAGGGGTGCCTGTTTGGGAGTCCCCATAATAAGGATTGTAGCATTTTGGGGTCTAGACTGGGGTCCCCTATTTGAGTAGTATTTTATTTGATGATACTATGGTAATTTAGAGTGAGATTATATCCTCCTTTTGGGTAGAATATTTTCAGAACTTAGTCTTATTTGGTCCCAGCACTGAAAAACACTACTCATTTGTGGAAACTAGCACATAGAGGAATATGTAGGGGTATGTAAGATTTAGGGCTTAGGCTTCTTGTTTGTGGTTGAAGCATACCGCACACCTGTGAACAGATGGACTTCTACCCCGAGCTTCTTGCGTTGCTGGAGTTCTTGGATGTGGGAGGCCAGGCATTGTTTGCAGGCAAGCGATTCTACTTCGGCTGCGGTGGTGGGACGGCGTCCTGTTGGCAACCGTCACCCTGGGTTTCCTATTTCTGGGGTTGCCCATTCAGATCCAACATGCTCGCTTATAGGCTAGGTTTGATGCTTGAAGCTGCTTTGTTCTACGGCAGTCTCTGGCCAAGGCTTCCTTTGCGACAGCTTCCAAGGAAGCAGGTTTCAACGTGACGGTTTCCAAAGTAATTGAAGATGGGCGTTCCAACATCCGTGAGATTCTCCTCATCTCGAAGCCTGCTGAAACACAGACGCCTCCGGCCAAACGTCACAAGACTGAGACCGAAGACACTGCTTTGAAGCAGGATGGCACTGACTGTGGACGAGAAGTAGCTGACAGCTGCGGCTAGAATCAGTTGGGTGAGGCACAAAACACTGCAGAAAGGATAAGACCCGATGGCTAGGCCGAGTTCATGAAAAGTCGTCGTCGCAGAGCAGGCCTCCTTTGGCAGAGCCAGATGCGCGGCTTTCAAAATGGGTCAAGAGCACTCCAAGACGTTGCCGTGTCCTCCCAGAGCTTGGATATGCCGCTACACTTCCTGGCTTCGAGGGTCAGACTGCAGAGACTGCAGGAGAGCAGCGGCAAAAGGCGAGCGAGCCAGCCACTGCTCTCCACGGCAGCCCCGAGCGAAGGTGGCCTGCTGTTTACTGGGCCCCTCCCACAGGCGGCGGCTTTTGGATGCGCCAAGCAAATAAAGAATCCCTTGATCATGGTGTCTGTGTCACATGGGATACGTGCATGTATGGTCATGTACGTAGCTTCATGAGAGCTCTCTTGTGGCAAAATGTGGGCGGCTGGCATTTAGAAGAATAAGGCTGGCGAAGCTGTTCGCCCGGGGCCTGTCTGTGACGTTTGAAGAGCTTGCTTCATCATTCTTGCGCCGTTTATTGTAGTTCTTAGTGACTTTGTGGTTGACATTCTGCGCTGGTCGCTGTCTTCAGGTTCTTTGTTGAGCCGGTGCTGCGGTGTTCCGGCCCAGAATCACGAGAGGGCCTGAGCAGCAGACTTTTTTTAGAGAACTTGGGCCAGTGATGACGAGCAGAGGCTGCAAACAAGTCTGCGCGTGGGCTGTAAGCACCAGCCCGATGAGGCAGGTCCGTGCTTCGAATCATAGCAGGCCAAAGCTTCTCTCACATCATCTCACATAATATGACTCAGGGCTACCTTTGCTGGATGCGGGCGCCGCCGACTCAGACTTTTGGGACATTGAGGGACTGCTTGGTATCACGCTCAGCATGTACCATCATATACCATCAAGGTCACGATGGATTGCGGGCCATTTGCGGCATAGTGCTCCGGCTGCGCTCTAGCTATCGGCTTCAGCACTTTACTTGAGATGTCTGTAGTCTGTGCAACTGTTTTGACAAAGCTGAGGCAGTCAGTATCAGACGCCTCACCGCCGGCCGCTGCGCTCCTTCCCCAGGGATGCAGCGGTCACTTCCTCCAAACTCATTTTGGGAGACCACGTTGTTGTGCTTAGAAGGCAGGGCCAGTGGCTGCGCAGTCTGACGGACAGCATTGTGAGGAGGCCAGATGCCAGCAGACCTCATTTCCACCAGCACTACTGCTGAATCGCTGAATCTGAGCCAGGTCACCGAAGACTTAGCATCACAGCTGGATGCAACCGCCTGAGTTATACATGTCACTGAAAACTCAGCTGGTATGCATGGTGCGCTTATCCACTATTAACTATTAGCTTAGTCCTCTACCCGAGCTCCAAGGACATCGCCTGGAACATGTCGCTTTCCACCAGCCCCGGCCTCAAATCTACCTTTGGGTGTCAGGTCCATGAAGAAGATCCGCTTCTTTCAGAACAGTGCCTCAGGTTGGAATGAATGGGATGGGGCTTCAAGGCCAGCGCCACTGCTTCTTATGGAGGCGCAGAGACCACCACACCAGAGAGCTCATTTCGATTGTGACGCTGTGAGAAGCGTTGAACGTTCCGCCAGGATCCCAAAGAGGTCTCGGCCTTGGCAACCTTGCTACATCCATGCCTCGCTCCGTGTCCTATATCCCCCCTATACTACTATAGTACCCCCATATTACCCCATGTCATATATCCCACCCCTGTATTACCTTATGCCTGTCAAAGCCTGAACTGTGGCGGAGCGGCGGAATTGCGTTTTTGGGTCCTGCGTTGTTTCAGATAAGGTTCGAGAGCTACTGGACTCCTACATTTGGATGTTTGCTTTGCTGCCTGATTGCACGACCGTCTTTTGAGGAGACCTGCAGAGTTCTTGTATGCACTGCAATGCCTGGCTCTTTGAAAGGTTCAGCTTCATCTACCTACCCTTCCCTCTGTTGATTATGTTCTGTCAGCGGATACCTGATTGCAATTGTACCAGCATGTTACTTGATCCGCTTGCAGATGCTGGAGATATGTCAAGGTCTTGGAGATCTAGCGAGTGGCCTATCTGGGAATTGCTATGCCACCTGGTCGCACTGCTGCAACTCTCTGTCCTGCTGCATCTCCCCGAGTAGCAGAGATTTCAATTATAATTATAGAGGCCCATGTCGCCGTCGCCTTCAAGAGACTCCAGAGCAGTGCTGCACTCAAAAGTCATACCCACACCCTTGGCCCTTGGCCTTGGCAGCGCGGTTTGTTTGCCGCTTGCACCACCTGTGCGAACCGCCCAGGAATTACATGGCTATCGAGTGACTGGCCAAGCGTAGCCGCTGCTCTCTGCAGGCCGTCATCAGCCTCGTCGTAGTCAGCCTCGCGATGTACAAAGGAATGCACGCACCCGCTGGGACCACCAACTGCGGATACCCAACGAGAGGTAGCAGGAGGAGACCAGGAAGGATCTGAACATCAAATCGGTTTCGGCTTCGCTGTGCGCACTCTGTGCGGCTGGAGCCATTCTTTGCGGCTAAACATGCCAGCTTGCTTATTATCAGGTTCATGTGAGAAAAAAATGACCATTAAAGTTATGCAGTCCCGTTTGAAGCAACTTGGACCTCCTGCTGACCTGTGACGTGCCCGAGTAATTGATGTTCGCAAGGCCCTACAGTACATTTGACATATTCTAAGTGTTTTGGGACTTTCTTGACCACCGCCTGGCTTAAAACCTCCGCAGCGTACACTTTTGCATCTCGGCGCGTGGCGTGCCAGCAGCTACTTGGGCTCAATGGACACTGACATGTGGGTTTCTCAAAACAGTCGCTGGATTTTTCAGGTTGCTATGGGGATCTTCTTGAAGCCTACCCGCAACCCAATGCTCTGTGGGCCCTGTTTCACAATTTGACACGCCTTTTGTAAGGAATGTATAGGAAAATTTTCCGGACTCCCCCACGAGTTTCTGAAAACTGTTAGTTGTTATGAAAGTGACTATGGGCCTGGCGACTATGGCAATACTGGGTTGCTGTTAAGGAACTTAATTCAAGTTATTATATAATATTGGGGAAACCATAGTAATTATCATATGTATATATACCCTTGATGGTAACTTAGTTTAAGTTCCTTAACAGTAACCCAGTAACCCAGAATAGGGAACTAAACCTCTCCAGAAGCTGGCCTCAACCAAAGCCCCTCCCCCCCCCCACCAAACCCCCAAAGCCCTGAAGCCCTCATCCACCAACTACCCTTGGGGGGAATGGGGGGGACGTAACCCCATGTTCCTCCCAATAAATCCCCACAATCTTCCCCCTACCCTATTCCTCAATCTCCTAGACCTTCAACCTCTCCCAAAGCCCAAAGCATACTCCTGTGCTGCAACCCCCAAAACCTAAACCCCAAAACCTAAATCCTTCAACCCTTCCACCCATGAAGCTAAAGGCTTTCACTCCCCCCTCAGGATGCTTTGGGGCCTACCGGAGGGACCACCCGCTGCTTTGGCACCGGGATCTCGCCGAGGCTCTGAGGCCCCGGAGCCTTGTACAGAAGAAATCTGTAAGGGTTTTAGTGGGTTTAAGGGTGGGGCTTGAGGTTCAAGGAGTCGGGGTTCAGGGTTCAGGATTTGGTCAGGGGTTTCAAGGGTGCAATTGTAGTAGGGCTTGAGCTGTTGGGGGTGCGGGCTTCAGACCTTATGGATGCAAGGTTTGGACTCGAGGATTGACCGCTGATTTTGGGGGTCAACGCTGATCGCTGGGATTCTACAGGATGCTGGGGGTGGTTGTTGTCATGATTTCATATCATGTCTCCATCCTGTGCCATTCTGCAATTTTGCTGTTTTCCGTTCTGCTTTCGTCTTCCTGCTAATTAGAGATGTTGTCCCCGTTGCCGGTGTCTTTATTATTTTTGCTGTCATAATTAGTGTCTGCGCTGTATGCGGAGAGTTCGGCGGAAGGTTGCACCAGCCGAGCTGGACAGCACTGCTGTGGCGCTACCTGGAGGCTGGGCTGGTTTTCCAATGGGAAGGTAGAGATTTGAGCTCCCTGGCAAAAGTACTGGTATCTTAGCCACAGGGACACTCAACTGTTTAATAATGGCATGTTGAGGCCCCTACTTGTAACATTGGGGTCTTGTCTTGAAGACTGCCCAGCAGAACAGGTGCCCGGAATGCGAGTCGAGCAAGCTTGAGGAGGCCTTCTTCACGATGCTCGTGTCGCACTGAGACTTCTGTGATGCCCACGTGCAGGCATCCAAAAATTGACTTGTCCCATTTTGGCGGTCCTTCATGTGTTCGGGGTCTATCTTTAGAAGCCCCAAGTCTCTAGAGAACCGACGCTAGCAGACAGCAGCTATATTGCAGCTATTGTAGCAGCGGCTCGTTGTGGAAGAGGCAGACCGTATTCTCACAACATAATGTGAGCTTTGTCAATACATGTCATCATGAGGCACCCACTACTCCCCCTTACCCTGAAATAGACTCAAGGACACCCCAAAAGTTAGAAGGCCGGTCCAGAGACCGACAAGGTCGAAGAGCGCGGAAAAACCCATGTGAAATCTGAAAGCCCTGAAAGCAGTTGAACAGCTCCCGCTATGTGGGTCACTGCTATAGTATGACCCCTGCACCAGCTTGCCCAAACCAGAAAGGGCCCCAACTTGCTACTCTCCTGCGATATCCTTGGATGCTTTTCTTTGGAAACTTCCGAGTAGCCACCCAGGTCTTTCGATGATGCTGCAGGTCTGACGGAGTCGGCTCCGTCACAACCTGCAAGACAAACAGGCCTCAGGGTTTAGGGTGAAGCCCGTCTGGGTTTAGCATTAATGGCGAACTTGGATGTCATCCCTTGTCACAAGACAGGACATCCATGTGGACCCTCCAATGTAGTTCCTTCTTGGAGCTGTTGCTTTTTGGGGTACTATCAAGCTAGGTTTTATACATTGCAAGCCTGAAGCTTGCTTCCTTAACCATCTCTGAATTAAAGATGTGGGGAAGCGTTCAAGCTTGTCTCCTGTTGGCAATGCGCCCGAAGTCATCATGAATGCCGTTGACTTTCAGAATTCGTGCTGCAGGTCCGATTCAGCCTGGAAACAGACACTTCACACCATGCACAACCCCAACACCGTCTACATCTTCCCTTTCCTTGGAAGCACACACATCCTTTCTGTGGCGAGCTCAGAGCGTTTTGCCCCTCCAGCAAGGCAAGACTTGCCTTTGCTTGATTGCGAGATTTGCGAGCACCATTCCGGGCAAGGATACCTGCAGTCTTAGAGGGCCCGCAGTGGTCCAGCTTTGACCTGGGAACCAGGAGGCAGAAATTGCTTTGAACGTGTGGATTTGCAAGCAGCCCTGTCTTGGTGAAAAATCCTGAATCATCAAAGCCGGACAGCTGTGCAGGATTCCACGCTCGGCAAACTCTGAGCCGACAACATCATCAGACCTTGCGCTAACGGCTTGGCTTTTGCGTTTCTTCAAGGATCGTAACTTTGAGTCGAGATCCCGTGCCTTTGCGTGCTGGCCCAGGCTGTCTCCAGGCTCATCCACTGCATTACCACCACCCGCACTACAACAACATGAACTTGCAAATTTAGTGGGAGGTGCGCACTGCTGCTTGCTATGCGGTACGCAAGCCAAGTCTTGAAAAAAAAGGTTATGTGCAGCAGGTTTAAGTTGAGAACACGGATCTATTACTTGATATTACTTGAATTTTGGCTCTTGGCAATCACGCGTTGCCTGCCTCCCCTGTTCACTTCGATGCGCGTGGCAGCTTATACCAGTAGAGGTCGCTCAGGGCTGAAGGATGGAGAGCTTCGCTGATCTTTGCGTGCATCACGTTCGTGCGAAGCCTTCTGCATTTAGGCTAGATAGTTGAGATGATTCCTGGTGTATAATGTATAATCCTTAGCCTGAACTTCACTGATTTTTTCAAGAAGTTATGACATCATCAGCTCGTTCTGGTTCCAGCCCATCATCTGAGACCAGTGAAGAGTTCAAAATGGGCAGGCTGAGTCGGGGCGTGTGCAGTATTGTGCTCATGGCTGCCTGCCTGCTGTGACGCCGGATGCAAGACACATCGAGACACGATTATGTCAGGCCAATCCTCCATGTGGCCCAAAACAGAGTCCCAATTCAGGATGACGGGGCACTCGCGTCTCGGCATCGTCTCTGCCTCGTGTTCGCCAACACTGGTCTTTCCCTTCCGTCTAAAGTATCAAGTTACCCACCACCCACAAGAGCAGGTAGCTGACTGCTCTTGAGATGCTGCATGGACAGGTGTCCAATCCTGGGTTGCGACTGCAATCTGTGGGTCGGGCCACTTCACTGTGAAGGGCTCAGAGCGGATAAGATGCGCAGGATTTGAGAAAGCCGGGCATACTGAGCAGGCACAGGAGCTGGTGACTGCAAAGGGTGGTTGTGAGATATTGGCTCAGGTTGGAGATGAGTTTCACCCCATGCTGGGTGACGTCTGGGCCGCATGCTCAGTCATACTGAACATTTGCAGTTGCTTCAACGTTGCTGGTGCCCGCAGTCCAACAGGAAAGTGACTGCCAGAATCAGAGTGCATACATACACCCCTCTCAAAGATGGAAGTTGGCCTGAAAGGCAGAAACATAAGACAGCCATTCACACGCATGTCCATGGATACCATGTGCTGGTTTTGAGGCATGTGTTGGGAACGTGGTGCTGCTTCAACGCGAGCAGCAGGCCAGAAAGTTCTGCGCATGAGGTGTCTTCGTAACGTTTGCGGGAGGAATGCAGGAGGAACATTCAAGGATCATGCGGGATAGAGCTTTTCGTCGCAGCTTAGTGTTGTTTTTGATGATGATCACCTTGCCTTACCACTGCCACCATAACGTACTGATGCTCGTTATGACGAATCTTATCTATGACTTGCGAACAGGTCGTCCTATGCAGGCACGCAGCGTTTCCTCAGATGGTTCGTGTTGCTCTGCCTGCAAGTGAAGACACTCTTTGAGGCTGAAGCTTGTGGTTTCGACATCTTGTATTCTTGTGCGACTCTCAGAAACCAATCTGCATGAGGTTCAATATTTCTGCAATCGCTTGCCCCTCGATTGCAAATGCATGTTTGGATGCAGCACTGCCCTTCGGACGCGTGGTCTATGAGCCTCCGGTTTTGCTTTCGGATAGCTGGTGGCCTTTTTTTGGTTCTTAAACGTCTGCCGTGCGATTCAGCGCGCTCTGCCCAAGGAAAAATCCGGGAGATTGTCAGCAGCACTCATGCCCTGTGGCGCAGTGGCAAGTCCCATTGCTGCAGGAGCAGGCCTTCATGGATCCGGACTTAACACGTGAGCACGTTCAGCATGAGGGAGACCTTGGCATCCAAGATGGACAGCTCATGCCCGCTCAGGATTCACTAGCTTCTTTTTTGGATTGCCGCCTTGCTGCTGCGGCAAGGACAGGTGTTCGGCGTTACGCTGCAATTATAGTAGCAAGTGAACTCCTTGCGAAAGTGTTCTGCATTGTAGTCTATGGGGCCGACATCTGGGATCGATCTCCCACTTCTGCTCCAGGAGTGTTATGCAGCCCGGGGTAACATACTCTTCCTCGAGCATTTGTAGCAGCAGCCCCTTGGTCTGGAAGGGGTTGGCTTGCACGCAGAGCGCAGCATGCGCAGCTTCCGAGGTTTAAGCATTTGGCAGGATGCTTGCCCACAGAGCTACTGCGCCTCTTTAACCACTGCGGCCAACATGTGGCTCCTTGGCCGGAGTTCTTGTGATCAGAAAGTAATCAATTTCTTACCAGCCTTGTCATATTCTTGTTTTGAAGCTCAGTAGTTTTGCTGCAAGACTACAGTTTGCAAGATCTGAACCTGCATAGGAAAGCAGTCGTCACTGGGAGCAGCACCGGACCTCTACTGGATTTCCTCCAGGTCCCTGAAGCAGAGCTTGCTAGGGATGGCTCAACGCCATGAGTCAAGCGGTTTGTCGATTTTTTGGAAAGATAGGGTTTAGGGACTTGCTCTCGTCATAAGAGTTATAGCGTTCCCGAAAACGGATCCGCAGCTTTCAAAAATCCTTCAAAATCACTAGGTTCTGAGATTTCTACCTTTGCCAGGTGTCCGCGTCCCTTGTGCCCAGCAACTTCGAGCTTCTTGGCGGCACCGTGCCACACTATGAGGGAAGTTATGGAGAATCAAGGCATGACCGAATCGATTCGATCGACATCGATCTATCGATTCGATTTCCAGCGATTTACGGCGATCCTTCGATTTCCCACCTGCCACCTCCACCCTCCCACCTCCCACCATCACACCCACCTCCCCTCCCAGCTCCTCCCACCTCCCCTCCCCACCTCCCACCTCTTCCCACCCTCCTTCCTCCACCTTCCCACCTCCCACCTTCCCATCGCCTTCCAACCCTCCCACCTCCCCACCCACCGCCACCCTCCCACCTCCCA